ATCACTGAGGACACAGCAGATGGCTTCTGTTGGCAGAAGTCATTCTCCTGAGACTTTGGAGCGGTAAATCAAGGACTGCGGTCGAGGAAGCAAAGCTCATCACATTGCCAAGAGCTGAGCAGGTGTGAAGCCTGTCTTAGCCTCCAGGCCAAAACTACCTCAGCCTTCTCAGGCAGAAAGAAGGTGGAAGTAAGTAGCGTTGTAATTTCCAGCAGAATGACTTAAAGGCACACAAGGGAAAGCTTTACAGATGCAAAAGAGACAAGATGAGCAGCAGCTGCAGCATTCAGGAGAGCAGGATGGGCAATACCAGGGATTTATTCCAGCTGTATCCTGGGTGAGCGGTCCCAGTTCTGAGCTGGTCCCCTTCAAACGTCAGGATTCCTTTGCAGTTTTCCTGTAGCTGTATCTGAAATCCCTGTTCGCTGTTGTTAACTTGGTCCAGCTTCCACCTGTCAATACTGCTTTGCGTGATTCTGTAATTCAGAATCACTGTCAATACTGCTTTGCGTGATTCTAAATATTTTCTTTCTCTTGAGAATTACATCCCTGCACTGTTTGGAAGTAACTTTTAATATACACACAAAATTATGCTTTTGGTAAAAGTTTGATTTACTTGAGCCTTTTGAGTTAAGTTATCCCTGTGAGTGAGCTTACACAATGTTGTATTTCATGCCTAAATGATGGAAGAAGTTAAAACTGAGGAAATGCCATAGATGTTTCACAAGCGCTGGCACAAGAATCCTACCTTTTATGGCAGAAAATCATCTCTGCTTCTTCACTCACATTTCAAACGTTCTCTTGCCTATTTTATATGAGCTCCTATGAATTTAGGGTGGGGACTTTCTGACCGCCTCCAGTCATGCTCTTTCCTAGTGTTTTCCGGGTTTCTGTGGTGCAATGAAATACCAGTCACAATACTGAGTGTTCTGCAGTTCATATGACTGGATCTGTGGTTTGTTCCAGACCTGTCTGACCTGATGCCTGTTTGCAGCAGGGGCAGATGCTACTGCCGGGCGCTGAAGCTTCTTGATTTGTGTCACTTTGCTGCGAGGGCTTGACTTGGTGATGGCTTGTGTTGTCCCTGGATTTAGATCAGGCCGCTGTTGTCTCTTCCCAGAGCGCTGCCAGCTGTGCAGGTGTCTGGGTGGGTGTGTGTGTGTGCGTGCAGAACAGGCAGTGAGGCCATGGGCAAGCATTGGTCACATGTGGTCCCTCTCTGTGGGACTGTGGGAGCAGCTCAGTGGCAGAAGTGGGGCTGCAGCCAGGCTGACTTCCCTGGGAGCATGCGAGGACATTTCATGTATCTGTCTCAAGTGATGCAGGATGCTACTTGCAACAGCCCCAAAGACATCTGAGGTAATAAAGCTTGTATTACTGGGGAGCATTTTGCTGTGGATGCTCTGTCTTTAAATAGTTTCTCTACCCGTGCTGAGCGACTTTGAAATTTGCTTATTCCATGATTAAAAATATCTTAGCTGGGAAGTCCTAAGCCCCTGTCTGCTGGTTCAGCTTCTTCCTGGATTGGTCAATAAATGTTCTGTTCCACAGCTGCTGCAGTAGTAACTTCCTTCTTACAGAACAGATGGAGGGGAAAGAGCGAAGCAGGAGCATTCAGGCATCAGACTGTCTTGGCTGGAGGAAGAGTCGAGCCCGAAGGCCAGCGTCAGCATCTCTCCCTGTGGCTCATGTTTGCTGCTGCAGTTTTGTCTGAATCTGGCAGAGCTGCACTTGCAAGAACATCACAGTAGCTGCTAGGGACACGTTTTGGAAGCAGAAACAGGATGGTTGCAAAAGCACTGCCTCGTTCTTCTGCTTAGAAGCAAGAATTGAACTGGTGGCTCCCGATTCTGCTGTGCTGGGAGAGAGGGTAAGGGGAGGTCTCACACTTGGCTGGTGTCTAAAGCTGTGCCTTGCCAGCTGAGGCAACACTTCCCCACCTTAACCATAGAGACAGAAAAACGTGGGTGAAGGCAAGGAGGGAGGCGATTCCTTCTGAGTGGAGAGCAGCACGTGTAACTCAAGCAGCAGGATTTTGGACAGGGTGGTGAAACTGCTGTAGTGGCAGAAATCCTTGAGGCACGAAGGATGGGAAATAACATGCTCTGTGCTGTAAGAGGGGCTTACACTGGAGGGAGGTGTTTATGTGTCCGAAGGAGCTATAAAAGGAAAGAGGCAGCAGTATCTGTTGTACACCATTTATTTTTTTTCATGTGGAGCTTGGCTGATAAATAGGACTGAACTAAAGCAACGCTCGTGGAAAAATAAAACCCAATCATGACTCAGAAGTGCAAAATTGCCCTCCACGTGTCCAGAGACAGTGAGGTTCTGGTTTGCTGGAGACAGCACATGGATATGGGTGTCTGTACCAGCAGGGCAAAGGCTTCAGCTTATTGATATCCTAAATGCGAACAGGCGCCTGGTACGGCATATGGCTTTGTCACTGGGCAGCCACCTGTGCCTCTGAGATACAGCTTTTGTGAAGAAGAGGTCACTGGTGAGTTTTTCTCCAGTCCCTATTTACAACTCATGGCACTGTCTTCCACTCAAACCACTGAACAAGGGCTGCTGAACAGTGAGTGCTATGAAATTAATCATAGAATGGCCTAGGCTGGATTAAAACAAAGAAACCCAACAAAATACAAATGGTAAAAGCTAAGAACAAAAAACACCTGCCCACCTCCATCACATTTGGACATGGCTCATCATATCAACAGCACCAGCAGAGAGCAGACGGTTCCCATGGTGGAGGAGTGGTTTGTGATGGGAAGACAAGACTTTGCAAAGGTTCTGAAAAACTAACAAGTGCATCCCAGGTATGAAATTACAGTAACAAGGTTGCCTAAGGCTGAGAAAGGTCTTGATTGCATTGTCCCATCGGGCGTGCAGCTGCTGAACTAGCTGTGGCTCTCTCCTTTGCACTCTAGTGAAAGTAGTTGTTCACCCTGTTCCCTGCTCATCCCCTTTTGCGAAGAAGGAACCAGCTTGACTCCAGAGGACAGAGCAACACATGAGACATTACATACTTGGTCTTGTGGTAGTCCAAGAAGTGCCTGGCAAGATGCTTTCCCAAAGAAAAATTGGTTACCCCAATTGGTGGGAGAGGGACAAAAGCTCTGTGGGGCTAGTTTGGTGCCTGGTTCAAGGATCTGTAATTTATCTGCCTGAAAAAGTATCTGGAAGGGGTGAAAGGAGTTTCCCTATTAGATCACTTTGCAAGGTAAGGATAGTAGCCTGGTGGGGATTGGGAACTGCTGCCAGCAAGGTATTACCACCTCATGTGCTCAAGTACTCAGGCATCTTCTTCTTCCTTCACAGTATTTTATTCTGGGAACTGCTCAGAGCCTTCCCTCTCCCACTGTTTCCTGTGCTTGCCCATGCAGGGAACCAGTGCAGCGCTGACTGGTGCTGCCCACAGCAAGCTGCATGTCCCAGTAGGTTTGTTGCTCCAAGGAGCAGTGGCATGGTGGCAACCTCCTGCCTGGACTCTGTGCCCAGCAGGTTGCTGGTGGGACAGGCAGGCTTTGCCAGGGAAGCCAGCGAGCAAAATCACATTGTTGCTTTGCAGCCCAACCATGGTGACGCAGGCAGGCCCTTTTCTGTGGCTTTGAGCTGTGGGGCAGGGAAGCTGTAGGGGCTGGGGGTTCCCCGTGCTCATAAATCCTGCAGCCACCTCACCAGATGCCGGCTGCAGGACCGAGCGGAGGAGCCAGGTGGGGCACGCCTGGCTTTGCCAAGCTGGGAGATCGGCTGGTGTCATCGGGGGGAAGGGGAAAGCTTTGCTCGTGCTGCCTTTTCTGTGGTTCTGCTTGGGGCTCCATGTGGGTGTCATGGATAGAGAAAGAAAATCCCTGTGCCTAATCCTGTTTAAGAGGTTTCCATTGTTTTATCCTTTTTTTTTTTTTTTTCCTCCGTGTTAGGATAGAGGAATGGCTTCAGAACCCCTGTGGGGCAGGGCATCTGTGAACACATTGTTTGGAGTTTGATGAGAAAATTGTTTAATCGGCTGAGTTCACGTGAGGGACAGCAGTGCTGCTGTGCTTGTCGTTTGATGACACGTGGCTGGGAACAGCAGAGTTTCCTAGGAGACCACATCCTGGAGGCCTTGAGATCCCATGTGTGTTTGGTTTGGGTTTTTTTAGAATTCAACAGGAAAAATCACCAAGGTCATCAAACTACATTTCTTAAAACAACATGTTCCAGCTAGGGCTGTCTTTTTCATTTACTTTCTTGTCTCCAAAGTGCAAAGCTGGGAAGCAAAACGGAAGTTACCAGGTCGCTGCTCAGGCACTAGGAACACGGAGAGCAATTTGATGAAGCAAATACAGCTTGACTGTTTACAAACACCCTATAGAAAGGCATGGTCAACGAGCAGCATTGAATAGCTTGAATATATTAAATAGATTTCCACCAACTCAACTGGAGAAATCTCTCTTTCACTGGCATGGTTTGGGGCAGATTTAATTCAAAAAGAAAAAAAAAAGTAAAGTATTACTTCCCCTTTCTGAATGTATTTGCTGCAGCAACATCAGCTCATCACGTGCCAGAAGATCTCAAGGTTAGCAGGGTCCGGTACAACCATGTCTTCTCCATCCACAGGCTACATCTGTTGTGTTCCAGTGGGCCGGGTCCAGACTGGGAGCCAACGGGGCTCCTGCCACCAGCCCCGCTCGGTGCAGTTCCCCACTGACCTGGCCTGGCTGCAGCAGCTTTAGGCAGCAAGACATAGAGAGGAACTTGCACAAAGGTGCATGTTTTTCTGTCAGACCCCAGGGCTGTGTCTGGCACGCACTGCTGGCAGGGCCTCCAGGCATCGTGACGGAGTGGGGATGGGATACGCTCTTCGAGACCTCCCTTGCTGTGCTCCAGTCTGTTTGCAGCATCTTCTTCCAGAGCACATTCCCTGCTGTCAGAGATATCCTAGATGTTCCTCACACTTCTCCTCATCCAGCGGCTGAGTTCGTAGCTTGTTCTTCTCTCTCAGTTAAAAAAATATATCTTTATTTTTCATCCTCATCTCCCTCGCTCATGCTGCTGAGGGAGGCAGAGGCAGCTTTAGGGGAAGAGGGAGGAGAGGCTTTATTGAAGACCCAAGGTGGAGACGGAGAACGGGATGGAGAACGGCCTCGCGTAGGACTGCTGTTTGGGCTCTGCCGGGGAGAAAAAGCCTGGAGCATTCGGCCACTTCGTTCCTGGAACATCTGTTTCTGCAAAAGCAAAGTGAAAACATACTCAGAGTAAAGCACAGAGGGGAAGGTACATCTGTGGGCAGGCAGGGCCTGTGCTGCATTGTGCCTCACTTGGGAGAGAGTATGGAGACTTCTGCTCGGAAGCATAGCCAGTTCAGCCCACATTTAGCTTTTGCCTCTTCTACTGCATTCATAATAACCTGGTTTTCACATGACAAGCTCTTTTCTTAGGTTGGACACCCCTAGTGTGAGAATACCATGTGTACTGTACTATGTGTACTGTCCTAAGCCAGTCCTAAGGGGGAGCTCCCTTTGGATTTTGTGTATGTGTTGGTCACACTGTCTCAAAAAGTCAGTTTTCTGCCTGAACTCCCAACATTCCTTGCTCCCAGGAGCTTTTCCTTTTAGTGTGCTGGGACCCATCTCTTGCTGAGCTTCCTGGCCTTTGTCCTTCCTCCTCAAGGAGGGCAGCTGCTTCCCCACCTACCTGGAGGAGGCACCACCCAAACCCTTAAATTGGGGTCAGAATTCAGGTACCTTTGTTGAAAAGAGAAACACATGCAGGCTCTGTGTTTTGCTTTGGGCTTTATTGTCATATTTGCTTTGTAAAGCTGAGCAGAGACCTGCCAGAGCTGGTGGGGTGGAAGAAACCACCTTTTCAGCCGAGCTGTCTGCTGTGCGAAGGCAAATGCAGTGACTTGTTTGCACCTCCATGACCTTGAGCTGGGCTGCTGGGTTACGGGAGCTCTGGCAGGTACTGCACGGTGCTGCGGGCTTCACGCGGAAGATGCCAAATGTGAGTTGCTCGCTGCTCCTTCTGGGGATGGGGAACGAGAAGTCCTAGCCTTGGCTGGAGTACTGGGAGTTGGTTCACAGGTGATGCTTGGCTGGAACAGAAGAGCCAGCCCGGACACAGGTAAGTTGCTGCTCAGGTCTGAGAGCAAAATACTTCTGCAGAATGTATTCTGGGTTTGCCTGCTTGGGCAGCTGCAATCCACTGACTTAATTTTTTTTGTTCTGTTTCTTCCCTTCCTCCTGCAGCAACTCTGCTCTGTGATGACCTTCTTCCCAGCCAAGTTGATGAGGCTGCCCGTTTTGCTCTTCCTCCCCCTCTTTGAAACTCAGCATTCCCTGCCAGTATAGGGACAGCCATGAGGTTTTTTTAACCCAGGGTTAACAATTGAGCACAAATACCAAACCTGGTTGATCCTCTGTCAGTTCCCTCACCCAATTTGTATCTTGATCGCACTGACCTTTAATAATTTGGTTTCAGAGCCTGGATGTCTCTGCAGTGTAGAATGACAGCACAGTTCCTCCCTGGAGCCACACTGAATGACACTCTCATGCATAAAGACCCATGGTGTGTAACCTACCCCTGCACTTCGACTAGGTCTAAAATAGTCAAGATTTCCTAAAATCTCAATAGTTAGCTGATGGTGGTTGCTCCTGATAAACGGTGCCAGGAAGCACTCGGAGGGAGGAGACTTTCTGCTGCTGAGAGCCATGAGGATCTCACCAGGGTTGGCAAGGCCCCAGAGACTGTTGAAATTCAGTGGCAGGAGTGCAAAATTTCTCTTTAGATCACAGAAATGGAGGTTTTGTTGACTTGACTTAGTCTGTTTCATCCTCTCAGTGAAGATAACCCCCAACAAAAAAAAACAAAACACAGAAAAAACCGTTTGATATGAAATATCTTTTTTCTGGCCAAGCAAAACACTTTGGCTCCCTTCTGCCCTTGGCACCTTACCAGCCACTTCAAAACGCTCAGTGACATTGCGATGCTTTGTGGTGGTGCTGTACCAGCACTAGGGGAGATGGAAGTGCCCCAGCTTGGTTGCTATCCTACATAGCAGCGGGTGCTTGGCTATACCTTGGGCCCCTCAGATCAGGGATGGGAAGGAGAATCCTACTTTCCTGCTAAGGCCCTCAGCCAGGCTGTAGGATGCAAACTTCTTGGTCCCTGCTTCATGCAAGACTGTGACTTGAACAAGCTGATGCGCTCACACCTTCAGCAGAGTAAGGGCCTGGCCAGTCTGAATCACCCTCACGTGTTAAGTGCTTCAACCACCACGTTTCTGCTAAAACCAGAACCGCCGGAGGAGGTGGTGGTGTAATTCACCTACCTCCAGAATGGCTCTTAGAGAAAGCTGCTTGTGTGCTCTGGACCTTTAGCCAGAGGTAGGAAAATAATTTCAAAGCCTTGGTTTGAGCAAGTTTGGGTACACCCAAACAGTTTAGGAAGATAACACTTTGCTTTTGGCAAACTGGCTATTGGCAGAAAATATTTTGCCTACTTCTGAATTTTATTGCCGACATGTTGATAGTCTGTCGCTTTACAAAACAAGTGCCAGTTGGGAGTTATGGAGGACTTGCTGATTTTGAGCTGCAGATTCTTTCAAGGCCATGCTCAGCTCCAGGCTGTGGGAGCACAGTATGGCCTAAATGCCATCCCTGGGTTCTAGCTGCAACTAGTGAGATTTACCTGAGCCCCCACTGCTGCCTGAGGTGAAGCAGCTGCTTCCCAACACAACCATCCCCAGCTCCCCTGTCTGCTGAGGAGAGGGAAGCTGTCTCTTTGAAGGGACACCTCTTCTGAAGGGATGCTTCTGAGGGAGACTGGCACGGACACCCTGCCAGTGAGCTTCGCTTTCTCTCAGCTGACCTGAAGTGCAGGTGCCAGCTCATACATGGCTAAGAGGAAGGGGAATGAACCCCGCTGCTCCCCACCTCTGTGGAGCTGCATCTCTGCCACTAGGGCCTCTGTCCTGGGCTGCACGGCGGTCATCTCCCATGCCAGAACAAAAGTTCCGTGCTATGATAATCGTTGTTTCTGACCCTCTTTCTGTGACTCTCTCACAGAAAAAATACATACAGGGGATCGCACAGGTGGGCAAAATTGCCAGTGGATTACAGACATCTTGACATTTGAGAAATGGCATTTTGACCTTTTCCACAAACGGGCTTTTTTTTGTGGGCTACATGGCCTTTACTTCTAGAAAATTGATGCCAGCATAAAGCATATTATAATAATTATTTGTGAAATAATAATAGCATATTAATGGCATGCAAATTACTGATCTAGGAATCCAGCATGCCCATAATGATTCCTGTACTTTTAACGTCAACATTAAAAGCAACATCTAACTAACAGTGATAAGGCAGATTAATGCTAATAACAGTTTTGACACTAATAGCAAGTTATCATTATTTTTAAAGTCTTTCCTGTTGCCAAGGCTCAAACTGACTTTAAAAAAAGTCACACCACCTCTCAGCTTGCTGTCACTGACGCTTTTCATACAGTGCTGTGAGATTTCACTCCTCTTGTTCTTAGCAAAGGTCTCTGTGATTGCACCAGATTTCCTGCTCTGTGGTCAAACTCAATAAACAGGAGGCCACCCCCAGCTCCTAAAAGACCCTTTTAGAGCAGCTTTTCTCTAATTGAATTTGGTAACAAGTTTTAGCAGCAAAGGGGTTTTAAAAATCCCATCATTGTGCAGCGTTGAGTGGGATCAAGGCTTTTAAATTACTTTCCTCCCTCCGCACAGACAAACTCATCTCCTGTGGGTTTCATGTGCTCTGTTAGCATTAGATTTATTTATTCAGCACCTATGGCCACAGGACCATCCCATGTGGGGAACACTCGCCAAGCTCTGTGGAGAATAACTTACAGAGGAACTTCAGCTGGATGTGGTCAATGCAGGTAAACCTGGGCTTTTCATGAGAAGAGTTGCCCTCTTCCCTTCTCCAATGAAAATGATGCTGTCAGTAAACAAACTGCTAAATAAGCCCCTTGGTTTTATGGCTGGGACTGGTGTTGTTCAGAGAGCACTTGTCTTTGCACAGGACAAAGGGAGCTGCACGGAGATTATAAAGATGCTGTCTGAAGCCTTCCCAGCCTAATTGTACGGTCTTCTCAAGTGAGTGGCAATCAGCACGGCAAGTCATGGCAGAGGAAAGATGAGAACTCCAGTAAGAGCTAGATACAATGTGCTTTGGAGGCACTGAGTTGTGACACGGCTGTGATGTGGGCTACTTAATTCACCAGAGGTCTGTGCCTCTTTCTTAGTATTTGTTTATAAACAAAACCTCTGCTGAGATACTTACCACACAAGGTACCTTTTGTGATGGGAAGTTGTTCAGGTATGAACTGATAAAAGTGACCTGAGAGTGTCTTAGCTCTTTAAAATACTTCAATACTATCTGCTTCATGCTAGTTCTAAACTGTTTTTTCTGGCTTGCTGCCTCAAACCATAATCCTTGAGCCATTAAAGCTTTGCACAGGCCTCACAAAGGGTTTGCTTTCAAGGGAGAAGGGAACTGCTCGACTGTCTCCAGGCCATGATTTGAAAATGTACCTTTGAAGCATCCTGCTGTTCTGCAGGATTGTTTGCCTAGCTCTTACTCTGCTCCCCTCAGGTCAGCCTGCTGCTCTCCTCGCTCCTTGCTCACATTTCCTCAAACTGAGCAGAACCTTCATTCAGAGCTTGTAGCTTGAGGAGCCTGTCTGAGACGATGCCTGCACTGGAGGGTCTGGCTGGGGCCTGGGCTTTCACCAGAACTGAGCTGTGCAGAGAGCTTGGTGGAAAAGGACTGACTCCCAACAGGAAGGTCTGCTCAAGCATATGATAAATTCTACAAAGCTTCTCAAGCTTTAGCAAGCTATCGGAACTGAAAGATGGGGGCCAGGGCACTTTGGGGGCTCTGAAGTGTCACCAGCTCCCCACTCAGAGCAAGACTTTGGTTTGAGCAGGTAAGGCCCTGGGATCTCTCCCCAGAAGGATGCTACTGCAGACTTGACTGCCCTTCTAAGGCACAGGGGAACCTTTAGTAAATGGGCTCTGTGGAGCCAGCACCTACTGAGGAGAGCTTTGAAAGTGCTTCAGTTGCACCTGAGCCTTGCCTGCAGTCAAATTAGATGAGCCTGGCTACTTAACGTGTGAAATAATTTCTTAAAACTTTACATCAGTAGTTCTTAAAATTAGAAAATTGTGTCATCTTCTACTGTTGAGTACAGAGCATGAAGACAACTACTTAAAACCTTTACAGGGGTCTCTTTCCCCTCACCACCTTGTGTATAATTCCTCCCTATCGTCTGTGTGGTCCCACCTAGTGCTAATGGAGAGAACAGGCGCTATTGCTGTTGCGTGGCTCTACTGAATGCAGTGTCCTATTCAACATCACATCTTCACAAAAGACAGAAATTATCCTGAAGACGCATCAGCCTGAAGTGACAAATCTTACCGCTGCAGTATTGGCATGTGTTATTGGATTCAGCAAGCAAATTTGGCGTTATACTGCCATGCTAGCTTTCACAACAAAGACTGCAGCAAAAGAATCTGCCCTTGATCTGTGTTACAGAGGAGAAATAAAAGCCACTCAGACTTCCTGGGATGGCAGAATACCTACCCAGGCTCCATCAGGTCCAAACAGCTCTAAGAAGTTCCCAATAAATTCCCTGGACTTTTCTTCCCATTTCTGAATAAGGTCATGGCTCTTCTCTTCCACCTTGTAAACAAATTCTTTTGATTTTTCCTCCACATTCTTGACTTTTTCTTTCATTTTGTCCACTTGGTTTTGAAAGCGGTATTTCTTCTCCTGTTTTAAAAGTGTGGACAGAGATTAATATACAGGGACTTGGAAATAATTAGCCACTGACAGCTGAAGAATAAAAAAATTGCATTAATGTATCCTAATATATATGGCCTTAGTTTACTATTCCCATGTTATTTTTATAAATGCAAATTTAACATTTGTGGAACGAAGCACTGCAGAAGGTACATATTGAAAAGACTGTCTTGTGTAATTACTGTATTTAATCCACTACATGAATCTTTTCCTATTTTCAGACTGAATGCACTTTGAAAATTGTACGAATCTTGTGAAAGATAAGGATGAGAAATTAACAGCTCAAACTTAGCAGTAAGCAAAAGGCAAATCTGCCTGAGCTTCCTAGCAGACGCAGCTCACTACTAGTTGCCAGCCTGTTAACTTGGACCAAAATGTCTCTTTGGTTGGATTTCCGCACAGCAGAAGGAAAACTCTCTTCTCCGCTGAGCCTGGCTAATACAGGAGCTTCTGCCTGCAGCAAAGATGTGTGTAGGCCAGTGGCTTGTGGCCAGCAAACTTCACAGAAAAGGCAGCAAGCTCCTAATCGCTAAGTCACACAGAAAAAGAGAGGGACAGAGAAGATACTGTTAGGAAGCTCTCATGAGGCCAACTTCTAAAATACTTCAGGGTTAAAGGGCTTTTGTCCTGAAACAATGCTGTGTTCCACAAATGTACAGTGCACCCAGCTAACTAATGCTGTGCCCTTGAAGGTGTAATGATCTCTGTAAAAGCACAGATCACTATCAGCTTTTAATTTCCTGTGAACTTCATTTAATGGGCAATTGAATTTACTTTTAAAACAAGTATCGTTTAGTGCAGGGGTGGGGATTTATTCTAGCTCATGAATCACAAGAACAGTCTTTGCAGACCACAAGGCCAAACGAAATCCTCAAGGTCCAGGGAAACTGAACTCACTTTGCACCTAATAGGTGAGCAACCCTTCGTTTAACAAAGAAATCCGCACTCTTCTACCTTGGTGAAGAGTGTTTGAGACTGGGGGAAGTACACCTTATGCAACAGTATCTTAACCTCAGAGCTGCTACAGGAAAAATTTGAGAACACCCTAAGGCACCCAGTGTGCCTTAATTTAATAGGTATTTGCAATAGTGATCCTTCTGAGTGGAGTATTTACAAACAGTACGTTCCTTGGAGGTTTAGAAGGCTAAAAAAAAGTACAGTGAAATAAATATTTATGCCCTGTGATCTATCTGCCAGACTTCAAAATAAGAAATAAGTAAACAAAACCCTCAAGAAACGACACAATTTGGTCCTTCGTGAGGGGGTTTCCCAGCTCAAGGGAAGGAGGTGGTAAGTTCTGCTGTGAGCCAGCCCAGTCACAAGGGAGTTTTGAGTTATGTGGGTTATCTCGAGGCCTTAAGACTTGAAACAGAGAATGAAGGAAAGTAAACTTTAATTTCTCTTCAGAATTAACTCCTCACTGGAGGGTAAGTTGCAGTTCTGTGGAAGCTGGATAATTTGAGCCATCCTTTGAAACAGTGCTCATGCCCTACTTGTGGCTTCTGATCTCTTCAGCACCATGTCTTCCCAGCTTGCTAACACACTTCCCTGTCTTTTAAGAATCATTTTAGCTCCCTCTAGTAATCTCACTGCTCAGCTGTTGGAGAGATTTTTCCATCGGTTTTATCCCGTTACATTGTAGAAAAAGTTCAGGTATCAAAAATCTTTGCTCTCTGCTGCTTTGTCCCAATGGGAATAAAGAAATTATGTCTTGGGTGAGTTGCCGAAAAGCTGGCGGTGTGGGAGTGGGCTCCTTCCCAGTGTGTCACTGAGCCACCTCAGGGAGGAAGGAGGTGCAGCAGCTTAGTTACAAGCATGGAAGCGAAGCTGCTAATTGATAGGAGCAATTAAAACTACCCTCAGCTTACCAGTTTCTTTTAAGTTCTTCCCAGCTATTTTAAAAGCAGCAGTATAGGAAGATATCCTTTCTTACCCTTTACAATCAGGGTCCTAGGAGAGAGTGTTTCAGAAGGAAATGCAGATCAGTGTACTTACATTTATAAAACTAACATTCAGCTCTTTGGCGGTGTATCCTCGTTGGAGGTTGCGCCGGGCATACACATCGTAGTCCCGGACGATCCTTGTGATGATATCTGATGTGGAGATACCTTCAGTTCTCTGCGTGGGTACGAACATTCCTGAGCAAAGTGGGAAAAGAAAGCCCACTGAGAAAGCACAGCAGGACCAGGCACTGCAACATGTAGCTGAGGATGAACACAAAAATGCCTGACCAAAGATAAGAGACTTACAACTCTGTCTTATTCCTAGTTCTTTCCTGCTGCTCCTGTGTAAGCTTGGGGAAGGCACTAGTTGCTACACTGTTCACTTTTCCTCAAGTCTTCAGAAAGGCCAAAACTCGCCCTCTTCACCGTGTCAGCTGTGATGTGGAAGTTTTTAGACTGGCAGGGACTCCTGAGCCAGGAAAACTAAACCTTGCAGCTGTGGCAATTCACTGAGCAGTTCTTACCTTACTTGATGTTACATAAATGAGGGAGGTGGGCTTGGCTTCCACTCCTGCCATTGAAAGGCCATTTGTTGCTCTCCTGTGTGTTTCCACTCTGTTCCTGTGCTGCACCATCTCACAGTCTTTGTTGTGCTGAGTGAAACAAACTGGCCCTGGCCTTGGCCAAAGCCAGGAAACACCTTCAGGTAAAAACTGTGTTATAGTAACTGCAAAACATCCTGAAGGTGCCAGTAGCAGGAAGGTGAAGTGCAATGGTAGCATGAACAAACACAGATAAGCCATGGGGAGTGAGGGTATCCTCTTCATAGCCCCTATTTCACGTCCACATGGCCATGGCAGGGGCTGTGTAACCACTCTCCCTGCTCTGACAGATCTGTCCCTAAGAAAACTGGCCTGTTATTAATCCTGCTTGTGTTTTCCTGGACATAACTGAGGTGTATGTTACTTTTTATTTCCTCCTCATCAAGACAGGATCACTTGAACTGTTACTACAAGTCACAAAGGCAATAATAGCAGAGCGCTAGCATACCTTGTTTTAGTAGTTATTTAGGGCTATGAAAAATTACTATTGTCACTTATATGTAATTGCAACATCGGGCTGCTGATGAGAGAGAGCTGTGTGATAAGACTGGAAATGGTTTTGCAAAAAAAGTAGTGCTTTGTCTTAAAAGGGTGCTATAGCTACTGGCAAATTAATCTTCACATGTTCACTTGAAGTAGGCAGGCATTGCTAGCTAATTTCACAGGGTTGGAAAAAGATCTGGAGAAGGAATCAAGAAGCTTAGCAGCCTCTCATGACTAAATGCTATGTGATATTTTTTCTTTCTGATCTCTAATTAATACTCTGGCAAGAAATAGATTATTTTAATCATAAGCAGAGAGGTTTCCCTGATCATGCTTTTCAAGCTAGCAGCAGTCACTCAGAAAACTATTTCTGGAAGCACTGAAACCCACTTTGAGCCAGAAGTCTTAATAGATAAGAGCTACAAGAATACACAAATAAAATCCAAACCCCACCCTTGCAAAGCCAAAAGTGGAATCGTTTGCAAGGAGACGCACAAACCCATGTATGAGAATTACCTTTAGTCACTGGTTTTGCTTTTATATGCTTTGTGTGTTGGACTGCTTCATGCTTTCCAAACTAAGGATTTGCAGATGTGTGGAGGTTTAGTCAGCACACTGTAACCCAGCTCACCGTTGTCCATATGTCCTCCCACCCACTGAAGGGAGCATGGAAAGAGGAGCCCAGGGGAGTCTATACAAGGAGCTCCACAGTTCCCATCTGCTTCTCTGCTCTCCAGCAACCTGATGTGCAAAAATGAGAGTACTGGAACTAAAGAAAATGCTCAAAGGCATCCGCAGCCTTAGTCTGTCTGAAACAAAAGCCCCTAGGAGTAAGGGGAAATTCACTTTTGTAATAATGCTCTTCTGGAGCGTTAGGACTGTTACAGTACTAGATCCCAAAACTCTTCACACATCAGGCAAGATTATTGCCACTTTATATATAACAAAATTCAGCTGTACAAGACTGAAGTCACTTCTCCTGCATCTTGCAGTGACTCAAGGACATGGTTCAGTGGTCATAGTGGTGTTGGGTTGACGGTTGGACATGAGGATGTTAGAGGTCTTTTCCAACCTTAAACCTTAATGATTCTATGACAGATACAGGACAGACCACAGGTCCCTAAAGCTCTAAGTCCATACTCTCTTCTGCAAAGTTTGAATTTCTCATCAGGACACATGCACACTGCACCTGTGCCCAGCAACAGCAGAGAAGGGTGTGTCAGGTTTGGGCATTCTCCAGCTCAGTCTGGTAACCACGCAGTGACACTAAGTGCTCCTGTCAAGCTGTCCTGTACACTCAGCACCTTAAAGAAAAGCAAAGTAGCTGCCTGTCCAGCACATATGCTGTATGCTCCTCAGTGACCTCTCCTTACCAGAGGAACCTTTGTTCCACTGCCTTGTGAAGTAAGTTGGTGCTGGCTCTGAAACCGTCGAACAACAGTTCCCAAAGCAGGGTTGTGAGTCTAACACCACTGCAAGTGGGAAAAGATCAAGAACTGCTGCTATAAAAAGCTTATTCTTTCAGCGCGGGTCAATACCTGCTGTCACTGTATAGCTCAAGAAGGTCACTTTGTGTGACAAATTACCATCAAGCAGATTTGCTCTGGCGTTTTTTAAAGCCTCCCATATACATGTTTATGCAGACGAGCAAGAGAATGGATCCACCAGGGTTCAAAACTGCACCTCCAGGGAGCAGAAGAAAGGTACGACCAGTTCCTCCTTCCGCACTGGTCACTATGTTAGGATAGGTGTGGATGGCAAACAGTGGCTTAATGTTATCTCCTCAGATTTAATTCAGCTTCCTTGAGCTGAAGAAATACAAACTCCTGACAACTGCAGCATGTTCCTGTTCAATGTAATATGGTAGTCAACCAAACTGCTAACTAGTCATGGCAAATTAATTACTCTGGTACTGATTTAAACCCTCTGCCAGTGTAGTGAAGAGAAGAGTCAGTGCAAATCAGAAGTGCATCCTAGTGACTCCCAAGGGCTGCCTGTGCTTGCCTGCATTCAGGACTGGGCTGTGCCAAGGAGTCACTCGTTTGTGGTTATCAAATGACTGACATTGGCTGGGCTGCTGTGAACTCATTTTCATCCATTCAAAGCTCTTAGTCAAGCACTCTAAAGCTGTTTTAAAAATCCCAATGGGATTCTTTCATGACAGATCTGAATGGTTTCCTGAGGGTTATGGCAGGAATTCAGCCAAGGACATCCTCTGTGGTTTTACAAAGTGAATCTTTCTGCCAAAGTCAGCAGCACCTACCGTTAGGGTGTGGTCAAAAGGCAGTAAAAGAGTTTGAGCTAAGGCAGGAAGGGAAGGTGCTAAAAATGTGAAGTTGTCCTTACCTGCCTCCTTTATGTGTTCGTATACATCATCCGAGCCAGCGGAGGAGTACGGGATGTCATCATGGGCTACGAAGTCAATCTGCCAGTGAACAAAGAAGAATCATATGCCACCATCACTGAATTTGGGTAGAGCCGGGGGTCGTTGTAGAGGGTCATCTCTTTTCTCGACTTCAGCTGACTTGCTTTTGACATTCTCATCATAAAGCCATTAGCTAGAATATTGGACTGGATTTAGGCCTACAGCTACTGTGTTGTATGATCAGTTAGGAAAGAACAGAAAGCTTGTCTCCTGAAGAACTGCCATTAACACATCACTCTGTGATACTCTCTAGAAAACCTAAGACACTCGGTCCTGCTTTTGTTGTTACTGGGAGAGCTAAGTCAAGTGGCAAAGACTTAGCTGTCAAAACCACGAAGGCAGGATCATTGATTCTGCCTCCTTAGGGCTATGCATATATACATGGATACCTGGTACTGTTATGCTGTTCTTTTGTCACCCAGTAATGCGAACACTAAAATATATTCTAATTAATTATGCTTTTGTTAAGATTCATATATATCACAAGACAGTCAACAGCACGGAGGAAATTCTATCCTGCCTTGTAGTCAACACATGACATTTTTACCTATCTCTGGCCAATTATTGCACCTGTTGACATTAATAAGAAACATGCCTTTAACTCAGGACTTTAACAGGACTTTAGTCACCACATGAGAACCTTCTTGGTTCATGATCTCCTTTCTTGAAAATCAGTTGTGAATAATTCTTCAGTGTTATTTTGTCATTCAAAAATCACACTGCAGAAAATAATCTCAGCACATTGTAAAAAGAAGACAAGACAAATATAATGTTTTCTGATGAAGATGGAGGCAAGCAATGCCATGTACCTAATTTCAGTCACAGAAATCAACTGAATTAAATAATTTGCTCCAGCTAATAGAATTTCACAGACTTGCTGCTTATCCTCAACTGTCAGTCTGCAAAGGGAAAGGGAGGGATAAGGGTAGAAACATACCTTATGTTTTTCAAGGAACTCAGGTGTCAGTGTCCAGGGTGCATCTCTGATGACCTCATCCACATAACGACAGTGTCTGAGGGCTTCATATCGCTCAGTTTCATTCATCACAGTGAAGCCTTTGAATTTATGAGTTAAATCATCACTGCAAACTAAGATATGGAAGTATCAACAAAAGGGCTCCACACTCAGTAGCATTAGCATGACCAGCCGTTTATTATTTCCTAATAATTCCATTAAGCACTTGGTTATTAGCTTAGCTAATTTTGATATTCTCCAGAGCATCTAAGAGTTTGGCTCAGGGTTGCTCACCTGCAGCCAGGTGAGACGGTATGCATCTCAGGTGGTATGGTACCCATATGTTGAGGCAACTCAATCCCACTGTAAGTGGGGATTTTATGAGCTGTGAAATTTCAGGGGTGATGGACAATGCTTTAAAAACAATCAAAAACTGTAGTGTTGGCAATCATGAGAGTGCTCACAAACTTCATGGATCACAAAATGGTCAGTTGTGGGAAGGCACCCCTGGACATCACCTACTCCAACCCCTCTTCCTCACCGCAGGGTGAACTACAGCAGGCTGCTCAGGGCCATGTCCAGTTGAGTTTCCAAAGACAGAGGCCCCTCAGCCTCTCTGGGCCTCCTGTTTCTGCTTTTAATTCTTAAGTAATCAGTGCTCTAAATGATGAATTTGCCAATAAAGCTCTTCATCACAGCAGAACAGTTTGTCACTAAAGAAACAATGGAAAATAAGTCATGGCAGATTTTATAGGAATCTGTCTCTGAGTTTAGCTTTGCGTTCACCAGATTTCATAGAAAGAGAAGTAAGGCTTGTGCCATGTTCAAATGGGAAATTGCAGAAGCAAGCCCCAGGGAAAGGACTGGGAGAAGCTGTATACTTTAGTGGAATGAGCAGAGTTAGAAGTCCAGAAATCATGCATCTTTAACTCCTGATGTACCAATGCTCTGTCACATTGCTTTTAAAATGGAGGGCAGCAACACCCAGGTTACCAGAGGACAGTAAAAGTTAGGTATTGTCTTTCACCCACATAATGTTGCCTAAAACACAATGACGTGTCCCCACAACTGTAATTCTGCCCAATATTATAGCTAGAACAGTCATTTGACACCCCACATGGAATAATGTGATACCCATTGATAGCTGGGTTGACAGTGGTTGTCCTTCACCACAGGTCAAACCTTTACCTTTGCATCTCACTTATCTGTGACACCAGGACAAACAGCAGATGTACTTGACAAATGATAAATGCAACATCATTAGTGCTGCAGGGAAGTGTGAGAGAAGTCCTACAGCTGCTGCTTCCTTCTAATTTGAAAACATCAACCTATCAAGCAAGGCGCTGGCAAAGATGCAGTCTTTTTGAGACTGAAAATGGAAGTTCTTGCTGTGATGGTCATTAAGGACCTTTAAAGTAGGAAAAAACGCAGGAAGGCTTAGATAGCCCTGGAGTTCATGCAAAATTCAAAGCCAGATAATAACATATATATGAATTTCAGCCAGTGAAATGCTACTCTATCCTATTATGTCATTTTTGATGCCTGCTGACAAGAAATTTAACAGACGTCAAAGCATTTTCAGTAGAAAAATCCCTTCTGAGATTATATTTATATTTATTTACAGCCTTTATGTAACCTTAAAGCTACCCTCTCCTGGAAGAAAGGGTTTACTAAAGTTACTGGAAAACAGTATTTTTTGCTTGAATTCTATACAAAGGTTTGATTTAATTTTTTGAATACTGTTTGTTCATGTATAGTACAGACACAGTATCTCCGTATTTCCTTCTGATTCTGTCATCCTGCTCTAATGACTGATTTAGGAAGGTACAAACACTTACTTTAAAAAAAAATTAAATCTTAAGCTCCAAGTAGTTGTCTTCACATTGAGAGACAGAAGGGGTTAGTTGTGGTGCCCACAAAGACACATAACATCAGTGCTTTTGCAGCACAAATTGTATGTGGGTGTGAAAGAATGCCCATTTTTTTCAAACATGCTAAGACACAGTGCCTTGCTGGGAAAAGGTGCTGACGAATGTTGGCTGCTTTGTCATTCACTCCAAAAACAAGGACAAAGTGAAACTATGCCATGAATTTCAAAGGAGCTGGGCTTTTGTGACGGAGCTCCTGCTCTGATCTGGGACACCCTCCACTTCCTTAAAAGCAGTAACAAAACCTACACAACTTGCCCTTTTTTAAACTTTGCAGTCTTACACTTCTACCTGCTTCTTCTGCAAGCTATCTAGCTCAGTGGGAAAACAAGAGAGTCCTAAATGTTTCCTTCATAACAAAGGGATGTTTCCTTTCCCCCTCAGAAAGCTCCATGGGACTTACCACAATTCATAAACTTAAGAATAAAACCAAAGAAGTGTGTTTGTAAGAAGATTTTGCTTTTCATCTTTGCTGCATCTTTTATTCACCCCTTTCAGGCAACCTGATCTAGTTAAAGATGTCCCTGCACACTGCAGGAGGGCTGGACTAGATGACCTTTAAAAGGTCCCTTCCAACGCAACGCATCCTATGGTTCTATGATTCAAATGACTTGGGACAAAGATGCAAATTAATGCATCTTATAAAGAGTCTGAAGGTTGCAGTCACATCCACTTTATCATCACTGCCGTAAGCATTTTAGCGGCTGAAGGTTGTTGTGAAATGTTTATGTGAAGGGAAACTGGAATTGAAATCCATGTTTATGAGGCCTCATGAGAGTAGGGCTTGTAGAGCCAGCTACACAGGGAAGAGCCACCCTGTGGTGACTCCTCAGGCACGTACCAACTGCTGAACAGCTGTAACCCAGCTGCACAGCAAAATCCAAAGATACTCACAGAAATAACACTGATAAGAAACTAACCTGCTTGGGGAAACTTGTGAGCTGAAAACTACGTCCAAATCATGACCTACATTTGGGTCTCCAATGATAACGGGCCGGGTTTAGCTTCTCTGCTGATGCTGAAGGCTGGGTATTGACCTGGCAGCCAGGGACCATGGGCTGTGCCTGGCTGGCAGAGGGACCGAGGAGCCAGAAATAAGTGAGCAGTTGATCTCATTCACTCATCTCAATCTTTGAACAATTTTGAGCAAATAACTGAAAAAGGTAAATTATTCATATGGAGCTATTCTAAGCTCAGAGTCATGCAGGCATCTGCTTTAACTAGAATGGGATTTGTGCCTGTGCTCCTGAGGGCAGAATTTGACTTTTACTTTAATTGATGCAATTGTAAGACCTAATTCCAGGCAAATCGCCTGTAGAAAGCCCCAAGACTGAACGTAGCATTCAAAGTCATAAACAGCTGGGGGTGTGAGCATGGCGAGAGCTCCCTGATAGTGAAGCACAGAAGCAAAAATCCAGTGCAATAAATAACTCTGATCTTACCTCCCACTAATAAGTAGCTATTTGGGAATAGAGTTTTGGCTTGCATAAGAGCTCTAGCATGGCCAGAGTGGAAGAGGTCAAATATCCCATCTGCATACACTCTCACAGGTCTGTCAGCTGTGGAGAAAGAAACAAAACAGTGATTTTTTTCAGACCAAAACCAAGTTGCAGTTTATTCTATTGTTTGGGGTTTTTTTTGATTCTGGAGATTTACCCCAGTTCTGATGTTCAAAAGCACCATGGGTAGACTTGCAGTGTTTTATCCTGCTCAGTACTTGCTCTTCTCTGTACTCTGCCGTTTTCTCTCAGACTTAGCCTATTTATTATCATCTATCATCCTCATATTCTAATCTAGCAAAAATGTCATCTTCCTGCCTCATTCAGAGTTCCACCATATGTCTTGTTCTTTTCTCTCTGCCTTTCTAGTCAGTTCTGCCTTCTGGATTTTTTTTCGTTTTTTTCCTATCATCTCCCTTTTCCTCCTCTCTTATCTGTGACTTTCTGTCTTCCACAGCTTACCACTGTAAAAATATGTCACTTACCTCTTCCCCCTAAACCTTTCACTTCCCTCCTTTTATACTTCCCCCAAGCTCTTCTACCTTCTCTCTAACCAGCCAATCATTTCTTTTTCTCAGCATCCTCCTGCTATCACCCTTGTAACTCTTGCATTCTGTATGACATCTTCAACAGCAGTATCCAAAGAGAAAAAGGACTTGCTTTACCAAATGACACACCTGACAGCTATGCCACGTCCAAGTGAAAGGACAGCAGAGATGAGAGCAACAGAGCTCCAACCTCCATGGATGGTGCTGCAGTGCTACAGAGAGATGTCTCTGCTGTCAGGACGTCCTAGAGTCCACAAGAGAACATTGTTCCTCGCAGAGCTGACTGGAAAGCTGTGATTTATGAAACACACGCTTTTAAAACTTATTTTAAATAAATAAAGTAAGTAAACAAAGGCTTTTTAAAAAGTGTTTCTTGGAATTTACGGGGCTGAAGTATGTATTTGGGACTTTATGTGAAATGATCCGGTTTCCCCAGCCCAATTACAAATGTCCAGAAAAAGAAACTGGGCATGGTTTCTTTGCAAAGGGCAAATGGCCTTTAAGGCCACTTAATGTCTGAGGGGCTCAAGAGGAATATCACTGAAAGAAGAGTTTTCCAGCATACAGAGGCAGTATGGGAGGAGAATCCAGGAAGTAGCCACTACACAGCACAACTACCAGGCTGGCTGGAGTGGGCTCACAAGCCTTCCTTCCAACCAATATGCAGGCATTGATGAAAACACCAAACTTAAACTGCCAATGTTTTCTCTTGTTGTTTCTCTAACAGAAGATAGTGGTCCTGCAGTTTCTGGTTTCTTCCCCATTACTTGGTAGCACCAGACCTTTCTGCTTCCAAGCAGAAGGCACACGTGAGCACTGACAGATGTTTGTAAGGGAGAGCCTGTGCTTTGGGAGCACCCTTGGTCCTGCTGATGGAGCTCTCTACACGTACCTGGTGTTCCCAGGCGGGCTTGTGCAATGGTTAGCTTCTCATGAGGGGCTTGGCACTGACAGCTTGTTTCATCTGCAAATGGGGCAGGCGCTGTCAGAGTCTGGAAGGAGGAAAAAAAAAAAGAAAGTAAATTTGTTTATTCCATCAAGCAGTTAAAAAAGAAGCATTTAACTGTGGCAGGATGCCATAACCAGGCTTAATGATGGTTTGTTCTCTGGAGAGTTTTGCTTTTTGGTTGCCCCTAAGCCCCCACAATTCACACAAGGTAAAATGACGTGGAAAATAAAGCTTTACAAACACATCATAGAATCATAGAATCATAGAAT